AGCCACTTTTTGATATCTTTCACAGAAAATGAGATATATAGGCTCAAAGTGGACGATCCGGGTGTCGTTCTATTAGAGGTTTTACGGTATATGGAATTACCGTGTTCATCGTATTTTTCTCCTCCATTCTCTATACAAAGTCAATGTAATAGATATCGCAAATTTCTTGAAATTTATTGTTCCGAATCGGAATGTCCGATTCCGACATCACATGTCAAATGATTCATATGACATATGATCATAGAGGAAGGGCCCCCCGGTACTTCAGGGATACGGCTGGGATAGTTTGCGTACGGTCTGTAAACCGACCTGATTAGTACACAGCGGCCTTTCCATGGGCTAAAGCATTGGCTATGGTAGCATTGAGTGAATTAAGGGCTACTGTAGTTTTTGGCATACTTGCGGACGGGCCCAAAGCGGACCGTGGCGGGCTCTGTCATAGTGTCTTTTAGAATCAATATTTTTTGATCAACTAAATTAGATATGGCAGAACTCGACGAGCACTACAAAATGATACTATTTGAGGCATTGTATCATATTTGTGAACAAAGTTACAAGCCAAAAACTGCAAATGCGGGCCGGTTTTTTCGGCCCGTTTTGCTTGTAACTTTGTTCATAAACATGGTACAGTGTCCCAAACAGTATCATTTTGTAGTGCTCGTCGAGTTCTACCATATCCAATTTAGTTGGTCAAAAAATATTGATTCTAAAAGAAACTATGACAGGGCCCGCCACGGCCCGCTTTGGGCCCGTTCGCAAGTATGGTTTTTGGATTCACTCTTCTAATTTTGAACAAACGAGGATTACAGTAGTTTGCGGATTTTCGAATTGAAGAGACGAGGATGTAGTTCTCACCTGTTTTCCGCCAATTCCCATTTGTTCTTCCGGATATCCATGTTCTCTCCGTTTTCGTCGCCTAAATAGGGTATCTCTCTCTCTCTCTCTCTCTCTCTCTCTCTTTCTTTTGGCTATTCTCTTACACACCTTCTAAACGAGGTACATATCTACGGGTGGGGGTAGTGTAGTACCCAATTACTCCGTCAACACGCTTCTCTCCCTTAGCCTGAAGGATTTAGGACGTCTTGTCCAGGAGCGGAGGTACTAGAACATGCATAAGGGAATATGCATATAGTTTTATACTAGTCAGAATGTTCTAATAGCTCAAAAAATGGGCCTCCTTTATTATTACCTACTTATTATTAGACTATTTATTATTAGAACCTACTAACCCAATTTTCGAGTTGTTAGAACTTTCTGAGCTATTTTTGAGCTCTCATGACCACGAGACAGATTTTTAAGCTATTGGAACTGGAAGTGTTTGAATCGGAACGTTCTAATAGCTCAAAAAGGTGGAGTCTCTGGATGCCCTGAACTTTCTAAAATAAGAATTTTTGGGATTTTTAAGGTTCCGTTCTAAACAACCCCTCGTTGTCAGACGACTACCGTAGTCTACACATATATCCAAGTCAAAAAGTGACGCCAATTTTCTGTTCTCTCTCTCTCCCAAAAGTCACAGGAAGAGAGAAAAAAAAACAAGCCCTGTCCCCTTCCGATGACGAATATAATGACTCTTCCTCCTTCTCCATCTCCCCTGTTTGCCCTGTTTTTGTATGTATATGGTTCGGGTTGTTGTGTTCAACACCATAAGTGTATATGGTCTTTTCTTCCTGATTTTTTAATATTCTATCGACAAAACAGCAGAAAAATCGAAATCTGTAGACGAAAACAAGTCTAGACCCATTTGTTAAGCTATTAGAACTCATTTTTGAGGTATTAGAATCCATTTTTGAGCTATTAGAATCCATTTTTGAGCTATTAGAATCCATTTTTGAGCTATTAGAATTCATTTTTGAGCTATTAGAATCCATTTTTGAGCTATTAGAACTTTCTGACACCACCCGGAATTTCTATTTTTCCGAATTTTTTTGTCGAAAAAAGGGTGAAGAATTGTATTCAGATGTTCTCTATTGAATTCTGAAGTGGTTTCTGTTGTTTGCACTGTACATATGCATGTGTATGTGTCACAATTCAAACCACCTCTTTTGAATCGATCACAAAAATTCTGATTCAGAAAAATTTTAAGAGGTTTTTGGATTTAAAAATGACAAAAATCGCATTTCTGAAGCGGAAAATGCCATTTTAATGACTATTTTACGGCCAATTTTTAGCCAATAGAACCTAGAAAAATGGTCAATATCAGTGTTCAAATAGTCAGATATAAGTACAAACCCTGTGGAATTTTTACCTTTTTTTTTGTTTGCTTATGGTATTACTGTAGTTTCTTGACTATGTAGCTGTGCTACAGTAGTCTATAGGAAAATTGCTCGCAAAATCGTATTTTGAGAGGTTTTTTTTTTCAGCCTAAAATGATTTTCAGTCATTTCCATAAATTCTTCCAAAAGAGGTCTGCGGCTTTTTTGATTACGGTAGTTCTGGGATAGGTGAAATTCTAGGAAGCTTCTGAGTTGCTGAATTTGTTTTCGAAAGAATGCACAACATCCTACCCACGGCCCCGACCATGGTCGGACGCTATAAGATCCCAAGAATCATGACTATGCCTCCCAGCATGGTCTACCCCACCAATACCGGTCCGGCCTATCTCGTCATTCCGAACTTCACGTATTTTTTCTCCTGCCGGCTGAGCAATCCACGTATACCTGATCGTTTCCGTGAACGTGTAGCTGCACTCATCCGTTCGTTTCGTAGAAAATGTGTCTCTGCGTATCGCAGGAAATGCCATTGATTTTTGGAATCTTTCGCCGACGTTTTCTATAGGAGCACACAGGTGTTTGCTCAGAAAAAAAAACAGAATGGAGCCTATAGAGAGACTAGGGTTGCCAGGAGAGAGCTAAAAGGAGAAAACGAATACTCGAAACACGTTGTTGGCAAGAGAAATAGGAGAAAGAGGAGAGAAAAGGAGAATGGAAACGGGGTTTTTGGCAAACTACAGGGTTTTCGTCTTGCCTTTCGTTTTGATTTGCCAACCTATAGTTTTTCCTCTTCAGCGAATATGAAAAGGGGTAAAATTTGCTGCAGAAAATTGGCGAGAAAATGCGATTTTTCAACTAAAAAAATAACTATTTTCGAGAGTAATTTTTGACCACAAAAATGAGATTTTTCGAAAAATTTGAAGCAGAAAATCCCCTTGTTTTGAGCCAGAAATTCGAAATTTTCGCGATTTTTTTTTGGCATTTTTTTGGATTTCTGAAATCCACTGGAATTTTCGGAATTTTGGAAATTTTATAGGCTTTTTAGGAATTTTTTCTGACATTTTGGGTACTTTTTGGCCTCAACAATGCAAGTGAACAATGAGATTTTTAAGCAATTTCAGACCTAGAAATTGCATATTTTAGGGCACTAGAATCTGTAATTTTCAGCAAAACTGAAAAAAAAATCCTGCGAAAAAAACCTGTGTTTTTCAAAAATACGAAATTCTGAAATTTTCAAATTTTTGGAATTCGGCAAAACTGGAAAATCCGAAATTCAATAGGTTGAAATTCTGAAATTCTGAAAATTCTAAAGTTCTGAAAAGTTGGAATTTCGAAAATCTTTTCCAGCTTCTAACTAGATTATTTTTTGCTGAAAATTCATTCATTGAAAATCCTGAAAAAAATCCAAAGATCGGAAATTCAGGAAGTTCAGCCTGAAAACGACTCCTAGAATCATATATGACCATAAGAACACCCTTGACCTTACCATATTGTTTATTAATCGCTTGAGCGTCCCATAACTCGACAATTCGTTGTCTTGATTCTGCACTTTACAAACTTGCAAGTTTTGCAGCTCGTATATCTATTCTACATCCGCATGTAGTAGCTCTCTCCATTTGGATTCTGAATCGGCGTCGTGATGATCTCGCCGTTGGGCTTCTAGAAGAAGAAATCACTTTTTTCAGTCATTTCCAGCCATTTTAAGCCAATTTTACCGTAAAACCTCTAATAGAACGACACCCGGATCGTCCA